TAATAATAAACTAATCTTGTAGCCAAATCTTTTTTTTTTTTTGCATATATTCTCTACTTGCATCGAATTTCTCATGGTAAATTGTTTTACCTATTTTTGATTGTTTTTATAGAAACTACGTGACAATTTACCTATTCTATATATAACCAAGACATTAGAATTAAACAATCGACCATTCCATTAGAACCTATTTTAATTCGTTACTTGATAACAAATGATCATTCTTTTGGTCATAAATCAATTCATGTCTTTCTTTTTTATGTTTTTAGGCTTTTTCCCATCTTAGTCTTTATAAGCATCAATTTTTCAAACAAATATAATACAATTCATTAAACATAATTGTGGTGTCAATTTTAGTATATGCATAAACTTATGCAATGTAATCAATATTTTTGCATATTATATTTTGACTTTACACACCAATGAAGTAAATTGTTAATGTGTTATCTCATTCAATCAATCTTTTTACCAGCAATTATGCAAAAAATAAAACACATACATCTAATGAAGATCTTTATGAAAATTAACATTTTGGTCCATAGAAACATTAATCCTTTGACACCTTGAACCTTCTCTAATATTGATATCCAAATCATGCCAATTTTTTTTCCTTATATCTTTTAAGGAACCAAAAGGAAAATTGATTTGAAGAACAAAAAGTGCAAGAAATACAATAATTAACTAGAAACAACTAAAATATAAAGTGAAATTCAACTGAAACTCACTGAGTTGATGAAAGAAAAAATTAGGTCTAGAAGCTTATAATGAAAATGAACTTGAAATGAGCTAAGAAACAATTCATCAATCAAGTTTGCTATAAAATTCAACAAGAAAATGGCAGCAAAATAGAAAAAACCAGCTTAATGAACTAGCAACTCAAGTGATACCGAAAACAGAGAAAAACAGAGCATTAACAATTAAATCTATCCAAACACCAAATGAATTCATGAAAATAAATGCAATAAATTAAAAAATAACAAGTAAACATGTAAAACTAAGAATAAAAAATATGAGAGAATCAAATCAAACACCTAGAAGGAGAGAGGATCATCATTCATCAAGTTCTCATGCATGGATTGTTTCTGCCTTCTGGATTCACCCTTAACTTTGGAGAATTAATTGTACTTGTACGAATGGAATTTGAGGCTAAATTTTAATTGGATTATAGCTTATGAACTAAAAATCTAGGAAAAATTTTTTAAAGTAAATCAAGCTAGAATTCACTGAGTTTTTGATCAAAAGACTGAAGATAGGTCAGGTGTGTAGTTTTGAAACCATATTTGAGTTCAACGTGAATTTTATAGAATTTGAAAAGGAAATCATGAGAATTTGTAAATTGCATTATGAAAACCTTAAAGAACATTTAAAAAGAGTGTAGGAAACCTAAAATTGTAACAAGATTCAATTAAGAAAACTAAAAATGACAAGAAAAATGAAAGGTAAAATATCAATGTTGTGCTCTAAGTTGCACCAGCAAAGATATATGGAAAGCATAAACTTCTTATAAGACAATTGATTAGTCATAAAATATGGCTTAAACAAGGTTCAAAAAAGTATGAACAAGCATCAACAAATATCATACAAACATTCATATGAAACCATGGCCTCCCACCTCAAAACCCTTCAGCTTTTGATAAATTATTAAAAGAAGTTCTTTTTGTAATAGAATACAAGATTCAAGTACATTATCATGAATTTATACTTTTATACAGTTTTCTTGATTCGAAAGATCTTCTTTCAAAATAATTACATTTCTCGTTTCTTTTCACACTCACCTAAGCACATTTAACACATTAAATCAAACAGTAAGTAAAGATTTCTATATTAAACCAGCAGAGATAAAGCAAGAATCAAGGCAAAGCATTCATATATAGATATGAGATAAGTAAGAGCAACCTTATGCGGAGTACTAAAAAAACTTTCCAATGGCTGAAAAGACTAGAAGAGCTATCTCGACATTGCAAAGAGTGGAAATCTCATAAGCTTTCTTGAAAAATCCTATCTCCTTTTTGAGAAAGTCATCTGCCTCATTGCCACGTTGTTAATCTTCTTGATTTGAATTTTTTTCTCACTATTCTCTTCCAAGAAAAAAGTTGAGGGAAAAAAAAAATTATAAAAGAGAAAGAAGGGGTTTCAAATTTGAAAAAAAAATTTAGTCACACTATTTCGTCACGATAGTTGTGTTTACTTTTTTAAAAAAGTCACTATTTGCAAAGAGGATTATTGAAGGCATTTTTTTTTATAAAAAATGCTTTCAATAATTTCTCCTAATTTTTTAAAGAGGATTATTAAAGGCATTTTCTGCAAAAAAACGCTTTCAATAGTCCACTTCATTTTATATGAAAAGATTATTGAAGGCATTTTTTACCAAAAAATACCTTCAATAATCCTCTCATATTTTTTTAGAGGGGATTATTGATGATATTTTTTGGGTAAAAAACACTTTCAATAATCTCTTGTAAATTTCAGGCAAAAAACATATTGAATAATCTGCTCATAAAAAATAGAGACGATTATTGAAGGCTTTTTTTATCAGAAACGCCTTCAATAATTTCGCTTAAAAATTGTAGAAGATTATTAAAGACGTTTTTCCAATAAATTTTTTTATCAATAAATTTGTCAAAAATAGAATAGCGTTGTTGGTTACAGCATACGATTGTTAATTATAAGGTTATAGGTTCAATCCTTTTTTTAACATCTTTTAGATTTTTTAAGGGACTATTAAAAGCATTTCTAACGCCTTCAATAATTTTCCTAAAAAATTGAAGTAAAAAATGCCTTCAATAATCCCTTAAAAAATTAAAAAAATGCTGAAGAGAAAAATCGAACCTATGACCTTATGATTAATAATCGTATGCTCTAATCGTCAATGCTACTCCATTTTTCACAAATTTATTGACAAGGATATTTATGACGTCTTCAATAATCCCTCAATTTTTTAAAGGAGACTATTAATAGCATTTTTTTGACAAAAAAAGCCTTCAATAATCTCCTTCAATTTTTTTCGAGGGGATTATTAAAGGCGTTTTCTGCAAAAAAAAATACCTTTAGTAATCCCTTTTAATTTTTTTATAAGGGATTATTAAAGGCGTTTTAGGTAAAAATGCCTTGAATAATCAGCTTATAAAAAATAGAGGCGATTATTGAAGGCGTTTTCTACTAGAAACACCTTCAATAATTTCGTTAAAAGATTGTATAAAATTATTAAAGGTGTTTTAGGCTAAAAACCGCCTTCAATAAATTTTCTTGTTAATAAATTTATAAAAAATAAAGTAGTGTTGTTGGTTAAAGCATATGATTGTTAATCATAAGGTTGTAGGTTTGATCTATTCTTTCATCCATTTTTAAGTATTTTTAGGGTCAATAATTCCCCTAAAAAATTGAAGTCGAATATTGAAGGTAACACCTTTAATAATCCTTGAAAAAATTTAAAAAATGTTAAAAGAAGGGATCAAACCTATGACCTTATAATTAACAACCTTATACTCTAACCATTAATGCTACTCCATTTTTCACAAATTTATTGACAAGGAGATTTATTGAAGGCATTTTTGACAAAAAAAACGTCTTCAATAATCCTCTACAATTTTTTAAAGGGAATTATTGAAGGCATTTCTAGCAGAAAATGCCTTCAATAATCATTTTTATTTTTTATGAGCAGATTATTCAAAGTATTTTTTGCCTGAAACGCCTTCAATAATCACTTTAATTTTAGCAGATAGGATTATTCAAGGTGTTTTAATCAATAAACGCTGTTAATTTTATCTTTAATGGCGTTTATATGTATAAACGTCGCTTTTTGAATATTTAGTGCTGTTTTGATAATAAATGCTTGAAGTTTTATAAAAATACAGAAGCTAGCGGTGTTTGTAAACAAAAGGCCGCTACAAAATTGTCGCTAATATGCCATTTTGCTGTAATGAACATTACTTTCTAGTGTTAGATGAACAATATATAAGAGCTTATCACAATCTCAGGCCTCAGAGCAAGAAGACAAATTATTGCATTCCAATGGGTTAAAATATCGATATGGATTTTGTGAGTCACTACATATTTACATTTATATATATAAAAGAATCTTCTTCCATTCTATATGATCGAGCATATACAAATATAATAAGATGCCAGGCCCCAACTTATGGAGGTTTTTTCTTTTCGTCGATCGGCATTTCTATCTGATAAACCTTTTCGACCTTTTGCTTCACGAATACTTCGCTACAAATGATTTTTTTTTTTTTTTTTTGCTAGGAACATTATATTGGCAAGGTCAAGCTCACTGGAATTAACAAAAGTTGCTGCCCCATTAAGCATGGCGTCGAGTATGGCGGATTGTGGCATTGATACAAGCCCTAAATTCATTGTATTTTTCTCTTTTTATTTGAATAACACCGGAGACTTTATCACATTTACTTGAACTAACTTAGGACTCTCTCAGATCTACGTGATTTGTTATTAATTTCCTTAATCGACTGATCTAGTGGTACCCAAGGCACATTGGGCGAAGGTTTAAGTGAAGTTTAAACCTGTGAGAATATATACTATTGCACCCAAATCCATTTAAGATGTTCAGAACTTTACTAAGCAACTATAAAACAATTCTATTTTCCTCAGAAATTTCAACATTATGAACAGAAACTCACATTTCAAACTTCTCCACTTGACAATAATTACTAATTAATTAAAACGTACATATCATCTAGTTGATTGGCTGGCATGAAACCAAAGCCTGTTGAAAGATCTTAACGTGAGAGTGAAGTCAGTCATTAAAGATTTTCATCAAGAAAAAAACCAAATACCAATTAGTCTTCATTACTCTTCAAGTTTATTTGCGTACATATATAATACTATTAAATTGAAACGATAAAGGTCAGCGAATCGCCATAAATGGATCTTCGTTCATATTTTAATATGACAACCTTTTGGTTGGGCTCTCCCTGAATTCTATATAAGCGACCTTTCCACTGGCATTGAGGAACCAAAGACAAAACTCAGTTTCAACAATGACCACAAAAATACAAGCCATATCTTTTCTTGTTTCGGTCCTAGTCCTAGCCCTGATTGGGGTCTCTCATGCCGGTGGGATCGCAATTTATTGGGGTCAAAGCAGCTCCGAGACAACCTTAAACGAAACTTGTAACTCTGGACTATACAAATTCGTAAACGTTGCCTTCCTCAACAAATTCGGCAGCGGCCGAACCCCATTGCTCAACCTTGCAGGCCACTGCAACCCATCAAATGGTGGTTGCAGGGTTGCAAGTTCAGCCATAAGAAACTGCCAAGAGAAAGGCATCAAGGTGATGCTCTCCATCGGTGGTGGCATTGGTCAGTACTCTCTGGCTTCTAAAGACGATGCCAAGAAGGTAGCCGCTTATTTATACAACAACTTTTTGGGTGGAACATCAGCTTCCCGGCCATTAGGAAGTGCCGTGTTGGATGGAATCGACTTTGACATAGAGCTTGGCTCCACTAAATATTGGGACGATCTTGCACGCTACTTGGCCGCATATAGCAAGCCGGGAAAAAAAGTATACCTATCGGCCGCTCCTCAGTGTCCGATCCCTGACAAATTCTTAGGGACTGCCCTTAGTACTGGGCTTTTTGATTATGTTTGGGTTCAGTTTTATAACAATCCCCCATGCCAATACAGTCCTGGAAACACAAGCAAGATTTTAGCTTCATGGAAACGGTGGGCTGACATAAAGGCAATAAAAAAGTTGTTTTTAGGGTTACCGGCAGCCAAGGCGGCAGCTGGAAGTGGGTACATTCCACCTGCCGTGCTAATCTCTCAAATCCTTCCAGAGATCAAGAAATCACCGAAGTATGGAGGTGTTATGCTGTGGAACAGGTACTATGACAGGGTCAATGGCTATAGTGCTGCCGTTAAGACAAAGGCGTAAACTATATATGCTTATGAATAGCAAAGCAACCTTGCCAGGCTTAGTAGCCTAATAAGTCCATGTATCCAAATTAGTGGGGGCAAATTATGTGTTGAATGAATAAGTTGTTTCTGTGGTTTTTTTTTTTTTTCCATGAATGTCTTAATTACGTAATTATGCGCCAGTCTAGTAGTCTGTCGTAACAGTAATAAAAGATAGTAAGAAAACATGTGTATTTGGAAATTGGATGCATCTCGTCATTTCATGATAGTTTCTGATTTGATTAAGCTGAGTAAATGGTATATATTTACGTTTAGTTTCAAACTTGCAAAAAAAATAAAAATAAAAAAAAGACCTCCATAAAGCAAGCAACAGTACTTCAATATCACAGCTGCAGGGAAAAAAGGTCAAAGGAAATAAATATTTCCTCCACATTTTTTTATTTATTGCAAATATATAAAAAAGATAATGTCACAAATGATCTTTGAACTATAGAAAAATATTAAAAATAATATTCAAATTTTAAAAATCTCTAATATGTTATTTAAATATTAAATATTTTTAATTTATATGATATTTAAAGAACTGTTAATTTATCCGTGATATGTTATTATTTGAAATTAATCATATGAAAGTGAGTATCATATTAATTAAAATATTCATAATTTAAATATCATATTAAAAATATTTAAATATAAATATTATATTGAATATTTTACTACAATTTATAAACCATTCATAACATTAAGCTTGTATAATAAAAATAATCAAAATCAAAGCATTGGGTAAACTTTGAAATTCCCCTACCGCATATATATTATGTATTAACTAATCAGTCAAGCTATAAATAATAGAGAAGTGTTAATTAGTGTTTTGTGACATTAATCATTCATGTTATATTGAAAAAAAAAAATAAATATATAATAAATGTATTGTCTCCTTTTGAATATAATGAAATTAATATATTAAATGTAAAAGCGTTTCCTTAAATATGATTTTAATCCTTATCCAGTTATGTACAAGTGAAAAATATAATCAAAAACTCTACAACGATAAAACCATGACTTCTACCAATAATAGCAGAATCTGCTCATTGAAGAGTTCGATTTGTCTTCGATCAATCAAATCTGTCAACTGATTCTCTTTAATACAATAAAGAGCTTTTCTTGAGACTAATATTGAATTTGGGAAAATATGAATTCAGATAATCAGATGAAAATAATTGGGAAATCTATTTCTTTCTTTATTTTTCTTGGGAAATCTATTCCGAATCCATCTTTTATTGAAGTGCTAGAAAGTAGAAACTAAAGTTGGAATTCAACGAAAATAATTTTATTTTTTGACCGAAAAAGACAAGCGATACAGCTGACAAGCTAAAACACAACAGAACCCAAGAACCAAAACACAAAAACATGATATTACAACCAACGACGACAGCACTACTAAACGCCAACTGAAATAGAAATAGAACTCTTTTGAAACATTTTATTTGTCATTAAAACCTGGAGATTCACTGGAAGAAGCCTTGTCACTGAAATAATCTTCAATTGTGTCATTCCAAAAGCAAACTTCTTCATCCTCATCACCTTTCATTCCCTCTTCATCCCCATTGCTATCTTCCTTTATATAATCGTCTCCGTCGATAGGTGCTGCTGTAGCATTTGGGTTTGGGTTTATTTTCTCACCTTTCATAATTTCAAGCCTCTTTAGTTGCTCTTGTGAATTTGGCGGTGGTGGGTTTAGACAAACAGGTCTTGGAATGGCATATCCTCCTTGGTTTTCTTTTGGCATGATTCTCATTCGGCCACAATGAGAGCACATATCATAGCCATTGATCTTTCTAAAGACAGGCATGTACTCTCCTTTAACATAGTACACAAAATGAGAGACAGCATACATGTCGGATCGGTCTCCGACATAGTATGCTCCATACTCCTCAAGTTGCTCGAAAGTGATCAATTCATTGGTTGTCCACTCTTCGAATGTTTGCTTTGAATTGACGAAAGCAACTGGATCCCACAACGGACCGAAGTTATAATCATAGTCATGGAAAGGGGTAACGTTGTCGGACATGGCATAGTCTGGATGTCTGATTGTGAAAGCAGGAGGTGGAGCTCCCATTTAATCGATCTCCCTTTCACCCTGGTCCTGAATCCTGATGAGTTAAAAATTTTAAGATAAATCAGATAAATTCAAATCAAGACAGATAATAATATATTAGCCAAAATAATCATTTGAAACTTTTGTCAAGCCAACAAAACAAATTAAAACAACTCAAAATAGAAAACTATTAATCTTTTCTCTCGTTTGAAACTAGCGGCTGCAGGTGAGTGAAGAAACAGTGAAAGACAAATGGGAAAGGTTGAAAACAACAACTGAAAGCTTGGAAAAGTAGAAACTCTAAAGTACTGACCGTTGAGGGATTTATTAGGTGACCAAATATTTGAGTGCTTTAAGCTTGTGGAAAAACAGGAGAAATGGAGGTGCTATTTAAAGAAAGGCTGCACCATTGCATGTTAAGAACGTGTCAAAAGAGAAACTATATTCTCTACCACCATTTTTATTTTTTTTTCTTCTACAATTTAATCAAGTAGAGAGATTGGGCGTGGGAGATTGCATATCAAAGTCTTGTGCAAGGACCAACATGATTGGAAACTAACTTAAATGTCATTATTCAATAGATGTTCTCTATATGTTAATATTATATCATCTAAAACACTATATGTGATGATTTATGGTATTTATTCTAAGATGGAAAATTTTATTTAGAAAATAACCCCAAAAAAAAATACCACGTTACAACTAAATATATTGATTATGTTCTATATAAAATGTATATAAAGTAAAAAAAATATTTTAATTAAAAAAGAATGGTACAAAATAATAAATTGACTTCTTATGAGTGACAACAATGGGTGTTTTGTTGATTATTGCCAACAAACAATTACAATTAATGATGGTTTTTGGAAACTTGTAGTTGTAGAGATCTGTCAAAGAATAGAAAATAATCAAAGCATATCAAAGTTTGAATTTTGGGGTGCGAAGTCAATAATCTACTGAAAAAAATAAAAGAGGCAAACTAAGAGAGAGCTATTCAGTATTAAAATATTAAACAATCTAATTATTATCTCATACATTTTGTATTTACTGTCACCGATTAATGATGTAAATATTATTACTATACCGCATAGGTTTAGACTTATTCTAAGTTTTAGACTTAAACAATAGTATAACAATTATAGGTCTTAAACTTTGGTCATTATAGTATAACAAAAATATAGTATCATATAATTAGTTTTGCCAATGACGAATCCGCATCATACTACATATTAATAAGTTTCGATAACAACAAATTTCATCATATTTTATAATAAAAAAGATTATAATCTAATTAGATATTTTGATACTTAACAGAAAATAACGATATCATAAGGTTATTTTCGATTACGACAATTTTGATTAATATCATAAATGTTAAAATAATGAAAAATTTTGTACTTATTCTAGTTATTTTTAGGTTGAAAAATTAAAAGTTATGATTAATGAATATTCAACTAATATATACTTAGTTTTCATTAATTTTTTTCCATTGTTTATAAGAAAAAAAGTATTTGAGTTAAAGGAAAAAAAATCTCAAAAAAGAAAAAAAAAACTTGTTCGAAAAATTGCTTTTCAAATTGCCTAAGTTTATATAAGAATCTATGATCTCTAATACAACAATATCTATATTTTTAGATGGTTACTCGGTTAAATGAACAAAAACAATGGAAAACCATAATAACCTCAAAGTAATTACCACGTAGTTGATTGGTTTATTCAAACTAGATAAGCAGTTGCAGCTAGTTACGGTCACATACAAGCAAGATCTATGAAAAACGTGTGAAATTGAAACCGAAGATGCCAAGTCGGACGTTCGCAGAGAATCGTAACTGTCTTTGACTCTTCGGAGCTTCCAACAAGGTATCCAGTGTCGGGTAGCTCAGACAGCGGTGACATCCGGGCCCATCAAGGCCCTGCCAAACAACCCAAACTGGTGTACAGATCTTCTCCACTATTTATAAAAAATAGTAAAAATTTTCACTTTTAGATAAAAATGCAAACGATGCTTTTTTTTTCTTTAGAGTACTTATTCTATCGATTTAATTAATTTCGATAGGATCTATATAAAATTAAATTAATTATATTATCTTATATTATTTTAATGAATTGAATGAGATATGTTAATTTCAAAAAAAAAAAACTTACTGAATTAAATTAATTTAGTTAATTTTTTCAATTAATTAAATAATAAATACATTTAAATTAAATTATATTTTAAATTTTTATCTTTTATATTTAAAATAAATTAAATAATATCATTTAATAAAATATTCAAATACCAAAATATTAAGTAAATCTAACGATTTGTATTTTTATATCGTGTTCTATGTCATATTTAAAAGTATAATGATATAAATTATTGAAATACAAACACAACACGAATTATAAAATGTATTTAAATTTTAAAAACGAACATGACACATTTATTATACATATTACATACGACACAATCTGATTAACACGTGTATAATTAATTAATTTAAACATGATACAAATAGATGCAATTAACAAGGATATACACGAATATGTACAACTAAAATGAATATATATGAATAGATACGACTAACATTAATATATACAAAAATACAACTAAATAATAAATAACTATTAAATATCCATCATTTACAACTTAATAAACTTGGCATATTAATAATATAAAAAAAAACTTGTATATTAAAAAATTAAAAAATTTGATACCCATTTAATACGTAATTAATATATATATTAATATATATTGATATATATTACATAACTATATTAGCTTTTAGTATCAAATTCAAAATAATGAGCTACTAAAGATTAAATAATAAAATAATGACGTACAGGATTAATATTAATATTTATATTATATTTATATTATTAATATAAAAAATAATTTTATCATAATTATTAATTAAGTATCATAATTAAAAGATTAAAATTT